GCACAGAAGGGTCCCAGCCCAGCCCAGCCAGCATGTGCAGCATCCATGTGGGGCCACTGCTGCAGCTGCCAGGGGATCTGCTCAGCTTCTCCAGCCTCCAGGGGCTCCTCCGGGTCCCTGCTACAGCACTTGCTCAGGATACCAGGTAGGGAAGCAGCAGTAGGCATAGGCTAGGGGGTAGAAGCTGCAGCTGAGTGGGAGCATGGGGCTGGGGCTGGTGGGGGCATGAAGCTTGGGGCCTGGGTGGGCAGGGTGTGGGTGTGTGTGTGGGGGTGGAGACTCTCCTCCCCCCCCAGTGCACAGCCCCTGTTACTTGTGGCAGCAGCAGCACATCGTGAAGCCTTGGGGTGCTTATGGCCCACACAGGCACAGCCACCTGGCAGCACATGGCTCCAGCCAGTTCTGAGAGCTGCATGTGGCGGCAAGAAGTGGAGCCAAGCTGGCCTGCCTTTATTGTGTTGGGCTCCCAGCATTTCACGGGCAGCTCCCAGCACTTGTGTGCCACGGGGGAAGCCTCGCACCATGCAGCTGGCTGCCTTCGCTGCCCCCTGCCACTGCATGCAGCTGCCAGGATATCACTGGGAAGCAGGAGACAGGGCTTCCCTCCACTTCTGCACGCCCCAGCAGCTACATGTGGCGGCAGGGAGTGGGGAAGGCAGCTGGCTCCATCGTGCTGGGTCTCCCCACAGTGGCACGTGAGAAGCTGGACATGAGACGCAGGGAGCATTGCACAATAGAGATGAGCCAACCTTGCTCCGCGCCATGCCACCATGTACAGCTCCTGGAACTGGCTGGAGCTGCATGCCACTGGGTGGCTGTGCCTGCACAGGCCACAAACACCCCGAGGGCCTGCTGCTGCTGCTGCTGCTGGTGGCAGGGCCTGTGCACCATAAGGGGGAGTGTGTGAGTGGTTCACACCCCCCATCCACAAACCTACACACCCACAACATAAACATACCCTACACCCCCACACCCAGCCACACACTCTCACAAGTCCCACACACACTTCCCACACCCCACCATACACACCCACCCACCCCCCAACCACATGCCACACGTGCCCCCACACACAGTATATAAGAGTAAGACTGTAGTTTGAGCTATTATGCAATCACCTCTATATACACCATGCAAACACATATAAATCAGGACAAAAATAGTTTTTGACAAAACTAAAATACATTATGTAGATGTTTGACTTTTATTATATGATTTGGTTGTTTTCGGTTCCAAGAGGGAAACCGTAGCCCCCCCCCCCCCCCC